ATGTGCTGGGATTACAGATGTGAGCCACCGCGCCCATCCTCCAGGGCACATTTTCTAGTTGTGCCTCAAAGCAGAGCCGTTGCTCAGGCCTCCTCTTCCTCAATGTTTCCATGTCCCCTGCCACTGACCACTAGGCCTCCTTGGCGCTCCTCCTCCTCCTCCTCCTCCCAGTGCTCTGTCTCGGTCTTCGTTCCTCACTCCTCTTCTTCCCCCTAGTCCACACAGGATAGACAGGGTCATCACTGTTCTGGGCTTGGCCCCCGTTTCTTCTCATCCAGGGACAGAGTCCTGTGACTTGTGTTACCATTGCTCTGCTGTTGACTCCCAAGTCCCCATCTCCAGCCCAGCCTGCTCTCCTGCTGATTCTCCAAGACGTCTATAGCCTGCTAGGTGCCTCAGTGACATCCCAGCATCACCGTGTTCTAACCTGGGGTATCATCTTTCTTTCCATGCTACTCCCTTCCCCTGAAGTCACTACCTATAAACAGGGCCCTCCTACTCAGAAATTAGAAGTTGGGATGTAAAACAGCTACGTGGTATCAAACTTGGGTCTGTGTTCTTTTACTTATTCACTTAACAAATATTTATGGTGTGCCTCCTATGTTGTCAGGCACTGTCTGGACACAGTAGGCATTGAGGACACAGCAGTGAAAAAGACAAAATCTCTGCTCTTACAACACTGGCAATAAACAGGCAGGTAAATATGTAATCCATCAAGGCAAGGCAATAGAGAGTGTAGGGTCGATACAGCGGAGGCTACTCTGAGGATGTGACATTGGAGCAGAGACCCGAGTGAAGGGAGAAGGTGAGCCATGTGGACACCTGGAGAGCAGGATTCAAGGCAGAGGGAACAGCATGTGCAAAGGCCCTGAGGCAGGAGCATCTCAGCAGATCCTAACAGCGGCAAGTAAGGCAGTAAGGCTGGATTTGAGTGACGAAGTGGGAGGTGGTAAGAGATGGAATCAGAGGAACAGCAAGGAGCTTGCTGGTGCAGGGGTTTGTTGGTCCCAGGAAGGGCTCTGAGTTTAGGCCTGGCACAATGGGAATCCGTCAGAGGGTCTTGAGCAAAGGAATGATATTATTTCATTGATGCTTTTATCGTATCACTCTGGTTTCTGGTTGGAGAATATCCCGTAGAACACAGAAGCAAGGAGACTCATGAACGTTTGTGTCCATGAGACCCTATTCTCAGCCTGGTGTGTTTCTTGCGTGATATGAATGTCTGTTGTTATTTGGAAGTTAAGGCCGGTGCATCCTGAACCCTCTGGATGACCAGTTCAGAAGTGGGTACCTGCCCAAGACCTCCATGCTCCTATGCGTGCTTTGTCCATGATGGCCCCTAGCACACCACTTTAACTGTCACAAGCTCAGGAGGTAAGAAGCTGAGTGCTCCCCAGACCAGGGTCCTTGCATGTGCTGTCTTGGGTGCCTGGATCTCTCTGTCCCCAGCTCTTCTCACATCTGGGTCCTTCTCTTCAAAACTTACCCTAACTGTAATGCCTCAGAGATGTCTCCTCTGATACTCTACGTAGGAGGCATCCCCTCGTTATTCTCCATCACTTGTCTCTGCCCCTTTCTGTAGGATGTATCAGACATCACATTCATGCATGTGCTTGTTTTCTAGCTGATGGCCCATCTTCTTCCTCCTAGACGGCAGAACTGTGACTGTGATCTTGCAGCCATTAGCAGAAAGAAAGAGGTCCTCAGAGAGGCCACCTGGGAGTCCTGACAAAGCACAGCCTGGAACCATCAACAAAGCAGAGCCTGGAACCAGACTTCTTGTCGAGTGATGAGGTAATAAACCCTGATGGTTAGGCTGCTGCTGTTGAAATATTCTGCTACTTGCAGCCAGAAGCATTTCAGTGGACACACTCTGTTTTACCAAAGAGGAAACGGAATCTCAGACTAGCCAAGTCACTGGGAGAGATATCTCTGCCTTCCCCCTTGATATTCTCCACCAACATGCCTTCCTCGCCCTGCTCCTGCATCCTCCTGGCAAGGACAGCCTTCTCCTATTTAAGGTCCACTTCAAGCCCCCTCTTCTAGGAAATCTTTGATCCCACCAACCATAGGGATCTCTCCCCTCCCTCTGCATTGCAGAGGATGCTGGGTGGGGTGAGGGGGATGCAGGCAGGGATCCTGGGAGGGAAGAGCTGCTCCCAACACCTCCTAGAGAGAGAAGACTTAAACATTTGCCTTTTAAAAAGCTGTAATTATTTTTCATGTTGCAATTAGGCTTGGTTTAAAAAGAAACGTGTTAATTATTCTATTTCCTGCTGAGTCTTTGCCAAAACAGCAGCTCATTTCCCACTCCCCCAAGTCCCCAGAGGTAGCGCCGTGCCCTGGAGATTCTCTGGTCTGCACAGCACCCAGGGCTGTTTCTGTGCTTGCTTAGAGATCACAGCCAGAGGGGCGCTGAGATCGCTCCGGGCGTCACCTCTCTCCAAGCTGCGGATGCTTCCACAGTGAAGTGAGGCGGTTGGATGCAGCAGATCGCCCTGTCCCAGTCTCTGGGGACACCATTCTAGGGTCCTTGAGGCAGCAAGGAACTTCCTATTGCATTCTGAGCCCATTTCTCTGGTCAGCAGTGTTCTCACCGGGAATTGAGGAAGACACGGAGGCCCAGGCCTGGGTGGAGCTTCGTGAGATGGGCCGTCATGGGGAATCCTTCCTCTGGGCATTACTTTCCCTCTTGTTTCTCATCAGGTCCTCTCAAGAACCCTGGGAGATGGCCAGGCACGGTGGCTCACGCCTGTAATCCCAGCACTTTGGGAGGCCGAGACGGGCGGATCACGAGGTCAGGAGATCGAGACCATCCTGGCTAACACGGTGAAACCCCGTCTCTACTAAAAAATACAAAAAACTAGCTGGGCGAGGTGGCGGGCGCCTGTAGTCCCAGCTACTCGGGAGGCTGAGGCTCCGTCTCAAAAAAAAAAAAAAAAAAGAAAAAGAAAAAGAACCCTGGGAGATGAAGAAGGAACAGTCTTTTTCACAAATTGTGCTGGGATAACTAGATATTCCCATGGAAAAGCATGAAGTTGGGCATACCACATACAAAAATTAGCTGAAAATTGATCAAAGACCTAAATGTAACTGTTAAAACCATGAAACCCTTAGAAGAAAACATCAGGGTAAATCTTTGTGATCTTGGACAAGGCAATGATTCCTTACATATTACACCAAAGGCACAAGCAGCAATGACCAAAAAAAGTTAAGTTGGACTTCACCAAAATTATAAACATTGTGCTTCAAAGAGCACTATCAAGAATGTGGGGGAAAAAAAAAAAAAGAAACCCCAACCCAGAATGGGAGAAAACGTTTGCCAATAAATATCTGATAAGGGAGTTGAATCTAGAATATAGAAAGACTTCGCGCTGGCGCAGTGGCTCCACACTGTAATCCAGGCACTGTTGGGAGGCCGAGGCGGGTGGATCACGAGGTCAGGAGAGAGGAGATGCGAGACATCCTGGCTAAACGGTGAAACCCCGTCTCTATAAAAATACAAAAAAATTGTCGGGCGTGGTGGCGGGCGCTGTAGTCCCAGCTACTCCATGGGGCTGAGGCAGGAGAATATGGCGTGAACCGGGAGGCGGAGCTTGCAGTGAGCCGAGATCGCTCGCACTGCACCCCAGCCTGGGCGACAGAGCAAAACTCCGTCTCAAAAAAACAAACAAAAAAAAAAAGAAAGAAAGAAAGAACTCTTACAACTCAATAATAAAAGGACAAATAACCCAATTTAAAACTGGGCAAAGAACTAAGTAGACATTTCTCCAAAGATGATATGCAAATGGCCATTAAATACATGAGACGATGCTCAGCGTCTTTAGTCATCAGAGAAATCAAAACCGAAATCACAATGAGGTACCACTTCACACCCACTAGGATGGTTAGAACAAAAAAGAGGAACAATGACGAATGTTGGCAAGGATGTGGAAACTTGGAACCCTCATACACTGCTGGTGGGAATGTAAAATGGTGCAGCTGATTTGGGAACCAGTCTGGCAGTTCCTCACAAAGTTAATTATAGAGTTATTCACATGCCCCAGCAATTCACTTCTCGGACTATGCCCAGAAGGATTGAAAGCACATGTCCACATGGAAACTTGAGCCCAAAGGTTCAGAGCAGCATTATTCATAATAGCCAAGAAGTGGAAACAGCTCAAATGCCCATCAACTGGTGAATGGATCAACGACATGTCACATCCATACAATGGGATATTATTTGGCAATAAAAATAGATAAAGTTTTGATTTATGCTACGACATGCACGAGTTGAAAACACTGTGCTAAGTGAAAGAAGCCAGACACAAAAGGCTGTCGATTGTATGATTTCATATAATGAAACTTCCATAAAAGAACAATCTATAGAGATTAGTGGTTAGTAGGGCATAGGGAAAGGAGGGAATGGGGAGGGACTGCTAATTGGTATGGGGATGATGAGAAGTTTCTGGAATCAGTGATGGTTGCACCACTAATTGTCCTTTTAGAAAGGGTGAATTTTATAGGATGTAATTGCACACTGAATTGTACTCAATTGTAAACTTAGGAAGGGTGAATTTTATGGGCTGTAATTGAATTACATCCCATAAATTGGGATGTAATTGAACTGTACACTTAAAAAGGGTGAATTTTATGGGATGTAATTTGTGTATCTATTTTAAAAGAAAGAATCCTGGGAGCTGCAGAGGCCCCCTCCCTTCCTCCCTGCCGGTACTTCACTCCCCACTGTAGTCCAAGCCACCCGCCTTGAATTGAAGCCACAGCCATCAGCTGGGCCTGCTGCTCCCTCTCCTGGCCCCCACTGCATCCACAGTGCTCCTTTTGAAATGTAAATCACATCACGTCCCTCCCTTAGGTAAAGCACTCCAGCGCTTGGATTCAAATTCAATCTTCTGTGGCATAGAGAGCCTGCGCAATGTGCCCCCTGCCTGCCTTGACCTCCCCCAACACCTTCATCCCACATCCCCCTAATTGTTGTCCCACAGACACCCAGGGCTTACCCCTGGTCTTGCATGGGTGGCCCCATCTTGTTCAGATGTCAGCAGCAATGTCACCTCCTCAGAGACCACCCCCATCCCGGCTCTGAAGCAGCCTCTTTGCTTCCCCCAGCGCTTGGCCCTGACTTCCTCCTTCACTTTCACAGCGTGCGCTCACCTTGTTCACTTGTATGTTTCACTATTACTCGTCTCTCTCCACTTCTAGAATGTAAGCTCCCGAGAACAAGGATCTAGCATAGTGCTTGGCACATACTAGGGTTTTGTCCAAAAGAACACCAGGAGCTTTATTGGTGATATCAGTTTGCAAACCAGGAAGAAAAAGTCTCCAGAGTGGACTGAAGGGGATCTCTCTTTGAAGAGGGAAAGGGCGGGTTGGTTTTATGCCTCACAGGGTCCATATTACACAATAAAGTCATACATATTCATCAGGTTTGGGGGAAAGCTATACATATTTATGAGGAAAGCCAAGTGCACGTACAATGGGTAAAAATATATGTGACATGCATCCCATGTTCACTTTGGAGTGGGTTTTAGCATTAAAATTAGGTGGAATTAGGCTGGGCGTGGTGGCTCATGCCTGTAATCCCACCACTTTGGGAGGCCGAGGCAGGCAGATCTCCAGAGGTCAGGAATTCAAGACCAGCCTGACCAACATGGGGAAACCCAGTCTTTACTAAAAATACAAAATTAACCGGGCATGGTGGCGTATGCCTGTAATCCCAGCTACTTCGGAGGCTGAGGCAGGAGAGTCGCTTGAACCCAGGAGGCAGAGGTTGCAATGAGCCGAGATCACACCATTTTACTCAGCCTGGGCAAAAAAAGGGAAACTCCATCTTGGAAAAAAAGAAAAAGAGGTGGAATTTGGCTCTTTACAATAAAAAGTGAACTATAGGCCACAAAGATAATCTGTGTGCAGTCTCTGTAAGCTGCTGAAACCGGCTTAAGGTCTGCAGTTGCTTTTCAGGAAAGAATGTTTGTGAGGCAGGTCCACTGTCCCATCAGTTATAGTGGTCTGGGTGTAAGTCAGAGTTGAGAGGGGTTGGATCATATTCCTGGTAGCACCTATTGTTAGGGAGTTTGCAAGAGTGTGGTTTTCTTATTTTTTTTTTTTTTTTTGAGACGGAGTATCGCTCTGTCGCCCAGACTGGAGTGCAGTGGCGCAATCTCGGCTCACTGCAAGCTCCGCCTCCCGGGTTCACGCCATTCTCCTGCCTCAGCCTCCCGAGTAGCTGGGACTACAGGCGCCCGCCACTGCGCCCGGCTAATTTTTTTCTATTTTTAGTAGAGACGGGGTTTCACCATGGTCTCGATCTCTTGACCTTGTGATCCGCCCGCCTCAGCCTCCCAAAGTGCTGGGATTACAGGCGTGAGCCACCGCGCCCAGCCAAGAGTGTGGTTTTCTTGTAGCTGTTGGAATTCAGGGAGTTGCCATGCCAGTTGCTCCAAACCCTCAACCCAACCTTCATGTAACTTCTGTTTTCTTAGCCTCAGGATCCATCTTAGTTGATAAGCGGGTGTCTCAGATCACAATCTCAATAAACGTGTGTCAAATGAATAAAAAAATCACTGTGTAGCTGCTGCTTAGCAGAGATGTGTCCTCGTTGTCAAGTTGCCTCCCAGACCGCCAGGGCCTCTCTCCCAATCTGTAGAGTAGGACGTCATGGGACCGTTTGTGGGAATCTGATGAGATGATGCATGTAAAGGCCAAATGGTAGCTCCTTTCCGTATGGGGTGACATATCCAAGTAGGAGGGAAGTTTTTGTGGTTTGAGGAGAATATTTGACTACTGGCCCTCCATAGGAGATTCTGGATTTATGTCCCACTCTCAAAGGCAACCCCTTAAGGGGGTCCCGCTGCTTGTGGACTTGGTGTTGCATAGCAAATCACAACCCTAGAAGAGAGGTGTCCATGGCAAGAGACACATCTGATTCATTTCTGTGTCCCAGCAGAGCTACTGAGAGCCAGGTCTAGAGTCCACAGTCTTCAGGGTTCGAGTGCATGATGGCCACCCAAAAGTGGATTCTGCCAGAGAAGTGGTGAAGACCAGTGATGTGCTTTCTGGAAGCACGTCAAACACGTTGCTGTGAGCTTTTCTGCCTGGAACAGGCAGACTGGGAGGCAGGGCTGGAATTTCAGGGGTGCAGGGGAGGAGGACCTTTACACAGACTTCCGCCCAACAGTGAGCACCTTGTCTGCAGTTGAGTCCGGGGAGCCTGGAGGCCAGGCTGCATCCGGCCAGGACCTAAGAAACAGCCCCGCAGGATAGGCAGTTGACCTGACCAATATGCAAGCATGATGTTCTGAGAACCCAGAGGAAGTTGGGTCACTGGGGTACCAGTGATTTCCTGCTTGGTCACTGCCTGCCCCATGAAGGTACAGGTAGGGGGGGACGTGAGTGCTTTTCATCACCAGTCAGGTGATCCTAGGCAGGCCACAGGAGCTCACTTCCCCTCTCGGAGCTTCAGCTTTGGTCTGCCGGAAAACGGAGGTGAACCAAGTGCATCTGTCTGTGGTCTGCTGAGAAGGAAGTAAACTCGTAGCTGGAGGAGGATTCCAGAGCCAGTGCTCTGGAGTGTGGAAGGCAGCCCTTGATCTGACTCCGTTTTGGCATTTAGCAGCTATGCTGCCTCGGACAAGCCCCTGACCTCTCAGGACTTCTTTTGTGGACTAAGGTGCTATACACAGTGCATCCAGCGGGAAAAGATTTAGAAGAAATTATAGAAAAAAATAATTATAAGGTTAGGATAGGAATATATTTTTGGGAAAAGTTATAAAAAGCAGCACAAACCACAAGGGAAAGGAGATTATTTGATTAAAATTGAAAATATTAAACCTGTGAGTAAAAATGACCAACCACCAAGGGAAATCATCAGTCAAAGGCAGGGATATTTGCAACACACGTAACAGACCACAGATTGATAAACAGAGTGTTAGAAAGAATTCCCATAAATCAAGGATAGACAAATAGCCAAGTGAAAAATGGGCAAAATAAACAAGAAACTCACAGAAGAGGAAACATCAAGAGTCAAAAACACAAATGAAAAAGCACTTGACAGCCGGGCGCGATGGTTCACGCCTGTAATCCCAACCCCTTGGGAGGCTGAGGTGGGCAGATCACTTGAACCCAGGAACTCAAGACCAGCCTGGGCAACATGGAGAAACCCTGTCTCTACCCAAAAAACACAAAATTAGCCGGGCGTGGTGGTGTGTGATTGTAGTTCCAGCTACTCAGGAGGCTGCAGCGAGAGGATCACTTGGCCTGGGAGGCAGAGGTTGCAGTGAGCTGAGATCGCAGCACTGCACTCCAGCCTGGGCGACAGAGCGAGATCCTGTCTCAAAAAAGAAAGAGAGAGAGAGAGAGAGAGAGGAAAGAAAGAAGCACTTGACTTCATTAGTTATCAGGGAGGTGCAAATTAAAGCAAGATACTATTTCAAGACCATCGAGTTGACAAAAATTTAAAAGTCAGACCACACAGGTTGTCAACCTAAAATAATCAAAAGGCTTAGGATCCGGTTAAGAGTCTATTCAGGCACGAAGTGTGAGAGTGGTGGTGCCAGGAAACACAGACCCCAAAGAATAGGGATCAGAGCTCCCTGGCATGGGTAAAGGTGAGGATGGCTTATATAGGCAAAAACAGAGGTACTGACTAGCATTACAACATTTTCCATACAAAGGCTGACATATTGATACGAGAGTTGGTTGGCCACCTACTGATTACACTCTAAGGGAGTTGAGTAACATTCACTTGTAAAGAGATAACAATCACCAAAGTCTCTGTCTCTGATGTCATTTAGTCTAGGTTTGAGTAAAGCATAGTGAGCCTGGTTAAGGTGTAACATCTCAACCCAAAGGTCAGGAAGTAGCAGTCATGTACCAAAGAGGAAGAGCAGCTGTGTTATGTGACCCGTTTCCAGGGCTTAACTTTTCCTCTGGGTATAATAAATTTGGAAGGTCTTGAAATTTTCTTTTCTTTTCACAGGGTGTTGGGAAGATGTAGCATGTCAGGAGCTGGCATACACAGCTGGGGGGTATAAATTCATCCAGCCACTGTGGGCCTACAAACTATTCTTAGGTACACATCCTAGGAAATCTTGAGCAATGACACAAGAGAAAGATATCAATAGGTGCAAAGAATTGTCTGTTATAACTCCAAACCAGAAAACAACAGCTCAACTGTCCATCAACTGTAGCATGCAGTGGTGAGCGAACTTTTTCTGCCAGAGGCCAAACGGTAACGATTTTGGCTCTGCGGGTCCTACAGTCGCTGTCACAATGATTCAATTCTGCCATTGTAGAGTGAAAGCAGCCCTAGAGGACGTATGAAAGAATGGGTACACTTGTGTTCTAATAAAACTTTGTTCACAAAAAAAGCACACGTAGACACTGGGTTGGATTTGGCCCGTGGGCCATAGCGTGCAGACCGCTGGTAGAATGATTATGTACATTGTAACATATTCACACAGTGGAATAATACTCAGCAATGAAAATATTCTACAACAAAATGAAAGAATTTTAAAAATGCATTTTAAGCTAAAGAAGTCAGATACAAGAGGATATATACCTTTAATTCAACTTACAGAAAACTCAAAGCCAGATAAAACTAGTTTTTAGGGATACACACCTAGATAACAGAAATATAAAGAAAATTAATGAAGTGATGACCGTAAAAGCCAGGACCATTGTTATCTTTAGCAGGATGCAGAGGGTTGTAATTACAAGGAGAACATAGGCTTCTGGAGCACAGACCACTTTTTGTTTCTTGACTTTGGTGGTGGTTACATGGATGTTCATTTTCTTTTTTCTTTCACTTTTTTTTTTTTTTTTGAGACAGGACCTTGCTCTGTCACCCAGACTGAATGGTGCAATCATAGTTCACTGCACCCCCAAATTCCCAGGCTCCCACCTCAGCCTCCCGAATAGCGGGGACCAGAGGTGCTTGCCACCACACCTGGCGAATTTTTATATTTTTGGTAGAGACAGGGTTTCGCCATGTTGCCTAGGTCAGTCTCGAACTCCTGAGCTCACGCTATCTGCATGCTCAGCTTCCGAAAGTGCTAGGATGACAGGCTTGAGCCACTGCACCCAACCCATTTTAGAATCATTCATTAAGCTGTTCTTTTATATTATACGTACTTTTCTGGGTGTGTATTATTTTTCACAATTTTTTTAAACATGAGAGCTTTTTTTTCTTTCTTGAGGCAGGGTCTCACTCTGTCGCCCAGG